GGGTGGGTGTGGATGCATCTCGACAATAGTAATTTGATGCAAGTGCAGTGCAAGAAAAAGGGAGGAAGCTTTAGAAAGTACTGATTCTCTGACTGTTCCTGCCAAGTGGCCATTAATTAGCCTTTCCATGGAAATGCTAATCCAGTGCAAACAAATCAGCAGGGTTTTCTTTTGTTAGGCAATGGAAAAAAATTTCAACATTCCATTTTCACACCAGCTTTCAAATGGAAAACATGAAGTAGGACTGCCTTTTCTCTTCCACTTCAGCTGACTTTATTATTTCTGCTAAAGGCTGTTTAACTTGAAAATCTTTTCCATTTCAAATGGGAATAGCATCCTAGTGTACAAGTGAAACATGGAGGAAAAAAAGAAGAAAAACCAGCAATGTGTGTTCATACAGCTATCCTATATGTAAATATAGCTATCCTATATGAAGGAATTTAGAAAGCATTGATTTTCTCTATTAATGATAAGTTAACTCTCTGATTAGGGAAGTCTTTTTTGATTTAATAAGGCTGTACAGAATAGATAAAACATGTTTAGTGGATGATTTCTATTAATCCCAAAATGGGATTTTTTTAAACTTGAAGACTCTTAGAAAAGATCACTTTGAGATAAAAGAACATATCTAAAGAATTCCCCACAAAGGAATTTGCATCCCCCCCAACGCTGCAAGGTAGCAGTGAGGGGAACACCAGCATATATGGTGTGTGGTGCTGCAGACCCATCTCCAGTGCCACATACTGCACATCTGTGCTCGTCTGGACACAGCCTTTGAATCTCAAACTGAGTGATGCTATGAGTTTCTTCACTTAAACCATGGTATTTATTTTTTCTCATACAAGCTGTTTATTTTTTTGCAGCCTCAGCATAGCGCCCAAATATAATGGTCAACACGTGGCGAACCTATGTGTAACACCTTTGTTATAAAACATGATAGGAAAGGCAAAAGGGGTGTGAATCGTGTATCTCAGTACCAGATTCAAAAGTCTATGATGCTTTAACATTCAAGCCTAGAAAGAACCAAAATTTGAGTGATGCCAAATTACTGGCTCACAAAGTTTGCAACTATGAAGTCTTGCACAATCTGGTACATTTATCAAGTTAACATTGGAAGCAAAATGCTTCAAGAACCTAAAGTAGATATCAAATAAATCATGCATCAGTCAAAAGCCTTAGAAGGCTTGAATAACTTCCTTAGAAGGTACCATTCTGATAAGGGATTCCAAAGTGTCCTGCTTGATGTAAAAGGAATTGACTGATAATTATTTAAGAAAATAGCTTTAATTTCCAGTTTAACTCAGAGCAAACCAAAACCAGAATGTTTGATTACAAGGCAGGGATGAATCATTATCTAATCTAGAAAAAAGAACCATAATATTTCCTTTCTTATTTTATTATATGGGATCTGTCATGCAGTCACTGTGGAAGAGAGATTTCTATAGCCTGAGGAGCACAATAAGATTGGGGGGCGGGGGCTGTAGCTCCAAAACATTAAAGATGCACCTCCAAAAATATAGGAACACATTATTTTACAGGAGAGTTGGTAAAGCAGCTCAAATGCCCTATATTTTCTTTTGAAGCCCTGGGCAGGTAGCTGAAGCTTAACATGCACCCACAAGCCACACTAAGGCATTTGTTACAAAATAAGCATTTATCCTCATTTTCAAACAAATCCATCTTATTTGTGATTCTGATAATCTTGTCTGTATCTGCTGCAAATGGAAAATATGGGGATTTCTTTAAATATAACAGTGAAATCTGGTTAATCTGTCACTGGGATAATTTATTGCTATGACCTCTTTGATTGGTGCACTAAATCCCTATACACAAAACATTTTGGGTAACCCGTTATCTGTTTTAGTATAATGAGCCATTTCCAAATGTGGACATGTGCTAAGCAAAAATGGAAGTTGTTACTAATAATTTATCAGCTGAAAAGTGACTGCCCTATGCCCTCCATAGCACCTGCAAACCACTGATGTTCACAAAACACTGGATACTCTTCAGTTTTTCTTGGCTCAAAACACAGAAGATAATTCTGTGACAATAAGGGATCAGCCTTTCTTCAGCAATATGTGCAAATAAGGCTCCTGACAAGTTACATTTAAGATGTTATTAACCTGTTAATCTTGCCTTTAATAGTAATCCAGGCACACACACATTTAAATCAGCATAAGACATGGTAATACCGTCAATGAGCCACACAATTATTTCACATGCAGTGTTGAATAACCTTGTGACTCAGTTGTATCAGGCTTTAAACTGATTAGGCCTGGAGTTACCAGGAAAAACTCCTTCACAGTCAGGGTGTCCAGACTGCGGAATAAACTCTCTCCAGTGGTGGTGCAGTCACGTACCCTGGCAATCTTCAAAAAGAGACTGAACAGTCACCATGCTGGGGTCACTTGACCCCAGTTGTCTTTTCCTGCCTAGTGCAGGGGAACTGGACCCGATGACCTATAAAGGTCCCTTTCAGTCCCTTACAATCTATGACTGTGTGGCTGGTTGGGGCTGGCCCATGACAGAACCCAATACTCAGGATCCAGTATGAGGTAACCCCTGGGTCTCAGACACAGCTGTCCCCTACCAAATCGGGCTAGGGGCAGAACTAGTCCCTGAACTCTGGACTGCTGCCCCGTCCCCAGGGACAGATTGGAATGGGGTGCAGTGAGCCTACCATCAGGGAGTATCTCCCTGATCTCAGGCTCATTGAAACCCAGACTTTTACTAACCCCACATGCAGCTGGGTTGCATGCATGTTCTTCTGACATCCCCAGCACCTGGGGACCCTGGGTTCAAGGAACTTCTCCCTGGTCCTGAGGTCCCCATGCACCCAGTGATGTCAAAAACCAGCTGCACATATGGTTTTTAAAATTCTCCCCACAATGGGCCCCTGGGCTGCATATGCAGTTTTCACTCGCCCATCCTGGCTCATGGGGACTCCAGGAACAGGCTGCCATAGCCCAATCCCAGGGACCCTGTGTCCAGGACCTTTAAAACCATATGTGCCGCCCAGATGGGCAGCACAGGCAGTTTTTACTCATCCTGGTACATGGGAACCCTGGGACTTGAGCTATGGCAGCCCAACCTCAGGGTCTCTGTGCGCCAGGATGAGTAAAAACTGTATGCGTTGTCCAGCAGGGATTTGACAATCAGCTGATTTTGGCTGGGGCCAGGGATCACACTAGGGATGGTTGTAGACCCCAGTTTGGTCCCCAGACCCAGCTGACAATCAGCCAACTGTGGGCACCTGCTTTTAAATTGCTGGTGTAGGGGGAGCTATCATGATCCCAGGCTCCCCCTGCATTAGCAAGGTGTGATTGTGATCTAATTCCCAATCTCAAAATCATGCATCCTGTCATGCATGTGTAGCATGTCAGGAAGTGCAACTGTTGGGATTGTGAATCAGATCCCATCATGCTTTTAAGTGGCAAAAGAGTGCACTCCACTATAAATCGTGCGATTTTTATATAGAGATTACTCCAATTTATTATAGTAAAAAGTCATACAGTAAGCATTTATCTATAATCACACAGTTCTCAGAATGGGCCAGAGTGAATACAATTTGCACTTAGAATTTTTGTATTATTTGTCCTCCTTTATAAGTGTCAAAAATCATTCTCGCTGTCCTGCTGGGGCATGCAAAGCATTTTTTTTTTACAAGAAAGTAAAAATGGCTAACTACTGGTAATCAGTCACTCATAAGCAATTAGTCATATTGGAGCAACTAACATTTTTATTTAGTACATATGCACATATGAAAATGGCTAGTTATGCTTAATCATCACAGATCCCTTTGAAGTGATGGATTAACCAACTCCAATGGTATTTACATTCAGCAATGGCTCAGTCTCTTTAAGGATCTTAGAGCTAGTATTTAGCCAGCATGGGCCAGGGTCAGAATCAATACCAGCTGGGGCCAATGGAGCATTATCTGGATGAGCTCACCTTTGCAGCTGTGTCTCAGGTAAACATGAGATTGATTTATTTATTAATTTGGTTTCTATGCCATCCTTCCAGACAAAGGCTCAGCATTGTTTACAAGAAGATGACAGAATAACTTATAAAATAGGAGAGTGATGAGAACAAAAAAACTTAAAAGGGAATGAGAAGATCAAGGTAAAATAGAGACCTCCCTAAACAATATATTTCAGCCTAGCTTAGTTTGCTAAATGCCTGCACAAAGAGGTTTTACAGCACTTCCAAAGATATCCAGGTCCTGTCTGGCCTCAGGAGTGAAGGAATTCCAGAGCTGAGGAGCAACTGCAAGAACAACCACCCATGTGTTTTTGTCAAGTAGATGCCTCAAATTGTGACTGGAAAAATATTGGGAGCCCATACAGATTCTGGAGTTGTGTTGCTAGTGATCCACCCCTATCACACCGTTTTGCACCAACTGCAGCTTACAGGCGGTTTTGTTTAGTGGGTCTTGTTTTGAGGCAAATTACAGAGTATTGATTTTAAAGATGCCACCTCCCATATATTTTTGGGCGCATCTACATGAGATGCTTTACTAGAGATTAGAGCTAATTACTGTGCAGTAAGCATTTGTACATGTAGACAGTGGCACTTACTGCACAGTAATTTGCTACTTGTATTTACAGGTTGCAAATTTACTCATGATTAGAGCAAATTTACTTGAGTAGTTACTGCACAGTACAGCATGTACTGGCCATCTGGGAGCAAATTTACTCCCAGCCAGCCAGGTAGTAGAGGGCAAGAGATTGCTTCTGTCCCCAGGAGTTGCCTACTGCCAGGGCAGGCTCTGCAGCTGGAGCCCGGTCAGGGACAATGTCCCCATGCCCCAACAGCAGGGGAGCTCCCAGTTTAAAACACAAGCAAGATTTTTAAAAGCATCACAGACATCTGAAATGGAATAAAGACTGGAAATAAAGTGTTTCAGACCAGCTCTGATCTCTTGTTCCTAGTACCTTAAAACCCAAAGAGATGTTCTGCTGGTGTTCCAGCACCACCATTACCTACTCTTAACTCCTTACCATGGTGTTTACAATCCTTGCCGATATACCCAGGGCAGCACTTCCAGTCCAAAGAATTTAAAACCTTCTGCTTCAGTTGGTAGACTGGCTTCAGAGTTGCCCTGTACCTGGACAATTGACAGAGAGAAAGAGAGAGAGAGATTTGGGAGCAGATTATAGTGAGATTAAACTGTATCTATGCTAGTTGGCAAAGCATTTTGACTCTCCATGTGATAGGAGCACTCTCCTGTGGGAAGCTCCTGTTTTATTTATTTCATAATTTATAGATATAGATATATAATCTCACACACACACCTGTTTTCTTTCTTTATTAAATAATGTTGCCCAGCTGCTTGTACCTGAAGTGTTGTAGGGCACCCAAAAATAAAATTTTGAAATTCCCTGCTCTTTGGGCAGCTCTCTTCTGCCATGCCTTGATATTAGGTAAAATACAGAGTGCAGAAAGCTGCCCTTGTCTTATTAGAATATCCATCCAGATTGTGATCCTGGCCTTATGTGCCAATTGTATAGCTCTATACCTCCCCTACACCATGTGCCATGCCTTGCAGATGGCACCCTTACAGATGTTCAACTAGTTACTGATACAGCCCCACTCAGGCCTTCTGACCCCTCAGCCTCACTCAACCCCACGCTGGGTCTTCAGACCTCTCAGTCTCTTCTCACAACCTATTCCTGGGCTGCCAGACCCCTTAGTCTCCCTCCTGGCCCCGATCTGGGCTGTAAGCTCCTCTTGTGGTCCGTTGTCCTAGACCTCTTTTGTTCTTCAGTTTCTCAGCCACTCTCCAGGCTCTTGGACTCATCTAGCTCTGCACTCTGTTCCTGGCCCCTCACTGGGCTGCTGGACCCTTCCAGTCCCACTACACTCATTGGACTTCATTGTAATCCTCAGGCCCCATCTGGCCAGCTGGGCTACTGGGTCCCAGTCTCCCCTGGGCCCTCACTGGGCCTCTGTGGTACATGTGGTCTTCCATGCTAAGTGCTTTTCTGTCAGCATCTGCTCCCCTAGCCTTCCCCCTCCACATAGGGTTGCCAACCCTCCAGGATTGCCCTGGAGTGTCCAGGAATTAGAGAGAAGTCTCCAGGAGACAAATTATAGGACATTCATTAACATAAATATTACATCTTGAATCTGATTTATACAGTTGTCCAGTGGGTTTTTAAAATGTAATAGTAATGTTCACTTGCCTTCCTGAGGTAAAGTCATTAATGTCATTACATCATGTGATGAAACTTCCCAGAATAGATTCAAACAGAGTTGGCAACCCTACCTCCATGGGGTAACCCACAAGGTAGTGGGAACTGAGGCTTTCTGGAACCCCATCCTTGCCTTTAATTGGAGTGGCCCATGCGTGACATTTCATGCAGGCTGCCCCACCATGATAACCAGCCCCAGTAGGGTACAGTTTCAGGTCTTAACCAGGACTGGTCTTCAGGCCTACCTAACCTTACTAGTCTCTCAGGGCTCCCCCTTAGATGTCCTATGCCCCCTCCTTGGCTGATAACCACTGGGCCCCCTGGCCCAGGCCCAATCTCCCACCCGAGTCCTTCATTTCTGGCCCCCAGTTCACTCTCAGACCCCTTTCCTACATCCCTCCTCATCAGATGGCCTAGCACCAGCCACCATTATCTTAAGCTGCACATCCCTTGACCCCTTCCTCCTGGCTGTGACCACACAAGGACCCTCAGCCCCTCCTAGGCCCTGGTGCTGCCTAAGGCCACTTGAAAACTCGAGGCTCTCCTGGCTTTGGCAGTCTCTGCCATTGTCTATTTCACCCTTCAGCCCCTCTTAGGCCCTGGCCTCACACAGGCCAGTTGAGATTCTCAGGGTCAGTCTTCTGGCTGTCAGCTCCCTCACCTCTGTGAATCCACCCTCTTGGGCCCCTCCATAGATCACTCTCTCTCTCCCTCTGGGCTAACCCAGAGCCCTTCCTATGTCTTTCCTAATGCAGCCCCTTCTTTCCCTGGGCTCATTTGGACCCCTCAATAGACCCACATACTCTGCCCCACTCACAGAGTCCACCCAGACCCTTCACTAGGCTTTCCAAATGCTCAGCCCTATTCTTATGGCTCACTTAGTCACTCAATAGGCCCACAGACTCTCAGCCCCTCTCCCAGGGCTCTGCACACCCTCACTGGGTCCCCAGGAACCTCCTCTCAGTTCCTACCCAAACCTCCAGATTTTTCAGATGTTATTCTCCTTGCTGGCATTCAGGAGCAGCAGCCTTCCTGCTGGGTGATGTTCCTACACAAGATCCCAAGATGTTACTACCAGCCCAATTCTCAGGGTCTAGGTTTATACCCTGCCTAAACCTAGCCCTCTTCCAATCAGGTGACTCCTTTGATCAAACCTAGCCTCACCTGCTGGCTCTCTGGGTCAGCTGGCTCTGCAATTAGCCCTCTCCCACCTGTCAGTGACTCAGCAGGCTGCCTTACCTCTTAAAATGGCAGGCCCATCAAGTGCCCTGCCACATGAAGGTTTTTCTATTATTATTTTAATAATCACTCTCTTCTCATGGAATGGCATCCACTAGACCTGTAGGCCCTAACCCTTCAGATACTTATGCACTCGTTTTGTTTGATGCGCTGTGAAATAATCCTAATGAAACCAATAGAAAGACTGCATAAAGTGAAGTGTTTGTAAGGGTGTGTAGGACCAGGCTCTTAATAATGACCTCAGCCTTTCTATTTGTGTGTTTAAAGCACTGGTGATGCATAAGGGGCGCACACAGGTGCATGTGCACCCCTTAAGCTTGGCGGTGCACCCCCTGCCAAAAGCGGTGCTAACACTGCTTGTGGCACCTGCGGGCAGTTGCTGCTTGCCACCCTCACCACCGACACCACCAGCAGCATCTGTGGGTAGTCCCCACTCACCCCCACCACTGATGCTACCATCTGTAGGGGGTCGCCGTGCCTGCCAGCCTCCAGGGGCATGCAGCCTTCATGGTTAAAGTCAGATCAGTTAAAAGTATGTAGATTATTTTAGGAGTGTAACTCCTTACTAACTTTAAATGATACTTGTGTTCTTCACTTACTCACTGAAATGCCTTCAATGAATTCCTTAATACCATAGGTTCCTTAATCTGGCCACAGTTGAAGTCATTCTAAATTGGATGCTTAAATATATGTAATAAATATCATTCCTAGGCAGTTTTGAAAATTTTGCCTTCAGTATCCAAAAGAAAAACATACATCTGCTTTCACTGGTTTTACCAAGGATACTTACATGATCTTCTGGCAGTCTGGGACTCCATTTAGACAAGGCTGCTGGGACTTAATAACATATTTCTCTTTTTTGCAGGTAGCTATGTATGTGACCAGTCGGGACCGCAAGTAGGAACACCAATTCCTGGAGGGAAAAATTACAGGGAACAAGTTTGGCAGACAAGGGAAGAAATTTGGAGTTCAAGTTTTTTAAAAATTATTGTTGATAACAATAATGCAAGGGAGCTACAACATACAATAGGGCACCCTTTTCAAGGTGAAGGACATGGGAAGCAGAAACAGAGCTCACTCATGCTCTTTTTTATATAGCACAGATTATAGACATTATGGGTGCATCCACATATGCAAGCACGTGCGCCTGCAGCAACTTAAATAGAAGTGGTGCAAATTTGAGCCGGGGCTTTTTTGCCTCAGCGCACATGCTCATACATGCACTTTGTTGTGGAGCAAATTATGCCACTTGGGGCAAAATAACCCTGCCTGGCTCCTCCCAGATCTACAGCCAGGGGGAGCTAGAGCCTGGGCCAGCACCTGAGGGAATCCTCTGTTGCACGTTGCTGCCCCCAACTTGGGGAGGGGCCCACTGCACTGCACCGCCTGCTGCTCAGCCCACCACAAAACCACAGCTGGGGGACAGACTCTGGGGGGAACCTGTGCTGCCTGTGGGGCCCCTCCCCAGCATCACTGCCGGAGCCTAAAGGTGCCTTGCCTGCCCCAGCTGCCTTGGCAGGCCACCCCGCACCGTCACCTCCACTTTCACCAAAAGTACACCCTGAGTGGCTGAACTGGACGGCTCCTACCATCACTGCTGCTGCTGCCCCCTCTCAGGAGAGAGGGAGATTCCCTGCTGCACCACCTTGCATAACCTGACACTAAACCTGCACTGGATTACTCCCTAACTGACTGATTGCTCCTGCCCTCCCCCACAGCTACCTCACTGCATCTGGTCCTGCTTTGTCTTCCTGCCTACTGCTCTGCTGCTGAGTGCCTGGCTGGAGCCCTGAGGGGCTCCTGGACTGATCTGCAACAAACAAAGCCCCTCCACTGCTCCATTCATCTTTTACATCTGCCTCAGCAGCCTTCCCTGTGTGTTCTTGCCCTTGTGTGGTAAGTCCTGTGGTCCACTCCCCCTACCCTGGTGTTTGTTGTGTAGCTGAATAAGCCAACTTGAGTTTCCCCAGCCCTTGTGTGTGTGTTCCTGGTCCCCCACATTCTCAAAGCATATGCCTCCTGGTTTTATTTCTTCCTCCCTACCCTGCTTCTCCCCTACAACCCCAGCCTGCCCCTACTAGATTCACCAGCTCCACTGTGAATTTTGTTTTTCTTTATTGTCTACCCTGTCCTCATGTGAAATAATGGCACGGCAGGAACCTTCTGGGGGGGGGCATGCCCACACAGAGCTTCCAGCAGCCCCCACTATGAGGGCAGATCCCAGCCAAGCCCCCAAGGGGATGAATGCCCTTACAGTGTCCACCCCACAGGCACAGTCAGACCAACCTTCTTCAGGGCTGGAGAAGCATACAACCTCTGCTGCATGGGCAGGTGGGACTCCCCTAGCCAGGCCCCCTCTGGAGGGGCTCCCAAGTCACCTCTCCCATTATCAGGGACCAAGGGCAAGGACAAGGGTAAGGGCAGTGGGGAGGGCTCCTCTTCAGCCTCCTCCACAGCTGGGGGTGGGAAGGGAAAGGCCCTGCCCCCAAGCCTAGGTCACCAGCACCTGAGGGGATCAGGTGCATTAGACCAGCCAGCATACCCACTCAGCTTGTCCCTGACCCTAGCTCTGGCTCCACCAATGTGGCCCCCCTGGGGTGGGAACCACAGCTATGCACAGGCAGCTGCAGAGAGACCCTAAGCCAGGGGCCCTGGACCCCTCACCACTGGCCCTTCCAGCTTAGGCGGCAGGGCCCCCTTTCCGGCACTCACCCACAGGCATGGGGTGAAGTGCCAACTGCCCAAACAGGAGAACCTGCACTTCAAGACCTAGATACAAGACCTGGCTTAGGTAGTGGAAGCCCTCAAGATAGTGGCAGCCTCCCACCTTCATGGCAAGGGGGTCTTTCTCCTTGCCTCAGAGGCTGCCACACAAAAGGTGGAGAGGGGGCTCATGGTAAAGGGCGAGTACATCCCCAGTGAGCCTCTAAAAGAGCTGGGGACCAGGATGGTCCTTAGCTCTGTCCCTCCCTATATTCCCAATTGGGCCCTGCTCCCCCAGCTCCAAACCCTGGGCAGAGTTATCTCCCCAGTGGCCCTCTCGCTGGGGTGATGAGACCCCCAGCCTCTGCCACGTGCACTGTTTCTGTTGCCAGGTTAGGATCCAGCTGGAGGCTGGAGGCTGAGGGGTGCCTGGAAATCCTTTTCAGGGGGTCCTGGTGAGGATTTTCTATATATTGGGGGACCTGTGGTGCTTCTTTGGCTGTGCCCTGGGGCACTTGCATCATGAGTGCCCCATGGACCAGGTGGGGAGGGCATCTGCGGGTCCCACTGACAAGAGGGATGCCCCCATCATCAGCAACCCTCCCCCCTCAGGTTCCCCTGGCACCACAGCAACAACTATGAACCCCCAGTGAACTCAAAGGACCCTTCCCCCCCAACCAAGACTGGCAGAGTCCTGGGGAGGGCAGCAGGGCTCCTCTATCCCTAGTCATGCCCCCATCATAGCTGCCCCACCCCCACAGCCCTCACCTTCTCCTACTGGAGCCTGTCCACCTGAGGACCACCCCATGGCTGACTGGGTGCAGGTCCCTTCTGGATGCAAAGGCAAGAGAGGCCCTGGTACAGCTGGAGCCCTCTGACATGGAGGACTCCTTCCCCCCTCCCAAGACCACCATACAGTGGGGAAGGAGCGGCCCAGCTTCCGGGATCCTCCCCAGCTGCGTCTGACACCCCACCCCCCGGGAAAGATCCAATGGGTGATCCCTGTGGAGGAGGTTTTGGGGCTGCTGGACAGTCCCAAACAGGAGCCCATGGAGGAAGCCCCTCATTCTGCTGACCAGGGCCTATCCCCTGAGACCACAGGCCCTGAGGCTGAGGCCTTGGCCTCCCCAAAGGAAGACCCAGCAACAGAGCCTCCTCCCTCTGTTGATCTGGGGGATGCAGAGGCCCTGGGACTCACCCCAGTGAGTCCCGAGGGAGGGGGTCCCCTTTCCTGGGACCCCAAGGTAGATGCCGAGGCCACCCCAGTGCCTAATGGATGTGTTCCCTCCCACTCCCAGAAAAAACTCACCTCCAACCTGCCCCATAGTCCTGCTCTGCCCCTGCCTCCTTCACTCAACAGGATGTGGGGTGCTGAACAGCAATGATATGCTGGTGCTCTGCCCCTTCCCCTGCCCCTCACTCCCAATCCACAGGCTCCCCAGTGCCCCTCAATCCTGACCCATAGTCCATGTCTGCCCCAACTATCTCCCTCCTGGCAACAGCTCCGTCCTAGCACCCAGACATAAGTGTAGCTGCAGCTGTCTCACCAGCTGTTTTCTGGCTCTGAGCAGTGCCATCCCTTGCTGTTCTGCTCCCTGAGCTCGTGCCCAGGCCCCAGTGATCTCCATATTGTTCCTGGGAAACCCTCCTAAGCTCAGGGACTGGGCTGAGCAAGCCTCTTCTGTTCCAGCCCAGCCTCCCCCTGTACAGCCTGCTCTAGCAGGAACATAGGGGTTCTAAGCCTGGCTCTGGTGGCCTCTGCTACCCAGACCACTTCCCCACACCTGCCCCCCATCTCTCACTCACACACCCATGCTGCCACCCCCACCCCTCCCCCCAACCCATCAAACACTCAAGTAGTTACTGGGAGTAGGAACCCCCCAGGCTGGGGTTGCATGACCCAGCACCAATACGGGCATGGGGCAGGGCTGCAGTATGACAGTTGCCCCTGCAGCTGCAGCTCCTGCCAGTGGGTCCCACCCTGTCTTGTCCAGTGGCTGGGCACACCAGGTGTGAGATTTGTGTGGGGGTATATGGGGTTGGGGGGGGAAA